CAGTGGAAAGTATTAGCAGGGAGGCAATAAGACTTTCTAACTTTCCTAATATGGTACAAATGACTAAAGAGAGGGACTCCATTCAGAGGAGAGAGCTTAAACTATACATAAGCTCATTTATGCTCATTTAAGCTCATTCCAGCCCTGCGGGGGAAAATGGGGGAAGGGGAGCTTCTTTCTTCAAAAAGAATGTCAATTGGTTCACATGTGATAGATACAAAAGCCACAGGAAACTCAAAAACTGATTGCAAATGCGCCTCCCTGCATGATAATTTTAAGTCTTTTACACACAAGCTGCAGCAGAAAGTGAGAGGCTCCAAAGAGCCTCTACTGAAAGTTGGGCTGAGAGGTGTGACAAAAGTTCACATTCTCCAATTTTTGACTCAGAATTAGAAAGGGGGACAAAAAGAGGGGTGGTTTCAGGGAGCACAAAATAAGACTAAGTTCATGGACTTACAAGTGGCAAAATGGCGTATTGCAGACTTCTCTTCTTTTTTGCCACTGTTATTATCAGCTGCATATTCTAGTGGCATGTGTGAAATCAGTATAAATTATTTGAATACAGTGGTACCTCGGGTTACAGACGCTTCAGGTTACAGTCTACGCTAACTCAGAAATAGTATCTCAGGTTAAGAACTTTGCTTCAGGATGAGAACAGAAATCGTGGTGCGGCGGCAGCAGGAGGCCCCATTATCTAAAGTGGTACCTCAGGTTAAGAACAGTTTCACGTTAAGGACCTCCAGAATGAATTAAGTTCTTAACCTGAGGTACCACTGTAGTGGGCAGTCAAGAGGATCCAGATAAATGGTCCTTGATTGAATCTCCACGTTTGTTTCTTATTCAATTAAAATATTTATATCCTGGCGTTCCAACCTGTCATCAGGATGCCTAATATGGCTAAGAACCTGGGATTGATAGACTCATTAAAATCAGGCCCATCCTATTTCTTGGTTACAGGACGAAGTCTGTCCTGACCTGCTTTGATGCAGATTGCTTATGAAAAGTCCTTTTTAATTTTTCGCTCTATAACACGCACCTGACCATAACACGCACATCGTTTTTAGAGGAGGAAAACAAGGGGAAAAACATTCTGAATGAAACAGTGGATGTATCATTTTTGTGCTTCATGCTGTGGCCACAGACATGTGATCTGATGGTGAATTTGGGGTGACCCAATGCAAAAATCCTGAGAATCCCTGTGGATCCATGCTTTGTAACCACGTTTTTGCACCATTGCAGCCCCAGGCAACAGTGGGTGTGTGATTTTTGGGGGGCAGGCTGTAGCCATGGACATGCTATGTGCTCTGATGGTGAATTTGGGGTGACCCAATGCAAAGATCCTGAGGATCCATGTAGATCCATGCTTTTTAACCACGTTTTTGCACCATTGCAGCCCCAGGCAACAGTGGGTGCGTGATTTTTGGGGGGCAGGCTATAGCCATGGACATGCTATGTGCTCTGATGGTGAATTTGGGGTGACCCAATGCAAAGATCCTGAGGATCCATGTGGATCCATGCTTTTTAACCACATTTTAAGTGGGGAGGGAAGGAAAAACACAGAACAGACAAGGAGCACGAGAGGGGTGTGCAGAGAAGCAGCTGGCTAAGAATGCAGGAGAGGGGTATAACGGGAAGGAGGAAAGGAAGGCAAAAGTTTTCCCTCACCTACCCACCCAAGCCAGCCAGCCAGCTCGCTCTCTCTCTCTCTCTCTCCCCTCCTGCATGTTTTCCTCTGCTTTCCCCTCTGCTTGCCTGGAGGGGAGGGGCTTTCCCTGCTCTTTGTTCCGTTTGAGCAAACACAGCAAGGAAACAGAGGAGGGTGGACAGTAAGACCCTGAGGCAGAATGCAGGAAGCAGCCGCTTCCTCTTTTCAGGTTTCCCTTCTCCGAGACGCGCAATTTGATTTTGCCTGCTTTTTTTTGCTTCCACACGCGCCATTTGGCTCCAGGGACCACACATTCGCTCAATAAACACCACAGACATTTCCCCTTCCTTTTTAGGAGAAAAAATCTGCGTGTTATAGAGGGAAAAATACGGTACCCGGAAACACACTTAAAACACAAGCACACCTTTAAAAGTACTTAAGAGGTGGTGCAAGGGTTGTGAGCTGCCTTTGTTCACTTCCAGGTCTTCCCTTTTAAAACAGTTGAAATTGTGTATCCAATTGCCCAAAACCTGTGGGGCTAGCGCTCCTTGCCGCTATATGTATTTAAAGTACATGAAGAAAGATCCCATGAGAATGATGGGATTTGGAGATGTTCTATCCCTTCCCAGGGGAATTATACGAAAAAAATGGCTAGCTTCTGGAGCAGACATAGCCTGCCCGGTGGAGTGGAGCCATTACACCAGCTATCAAACACATGGGTTGTTGTTGCTTATTAGGAGGAAGCAGTCCTTTCTTTTCCTAAAAAAATGTTTAGGGGTACTCTCATTTTACTACTCATATTGAAATACTGCCCCTCAATGATGCCAAACTTAGATTCACAAAATGTTTAGGGGTGTGTGTACCCCTGCGACCCCCCCCAAAAAAAAAAGGACTGGGAGGAAGAGAGACAAGGCATCAGGGACATCTGCATGGGGCAAGTAGCAACTGGGAAGCCAACATGGGACTGCCACTTCTGCAGTGGCGTAGCGTGGGTTGTCAGCACCCGGGGCAAGGCAAGTAATTTGCGCCCCCTAACCCGTGGATTTGCGCCCCCTAACCCATGGATTTGCCCTAACCCCAGATGTTGCACCCGGTGCGGCCGGCCCCCCCTGCACCCCCCACGCTACGCCACTGCACTTCTGCACTGGGACTGCCATGCTTTCTTCTGTACAATTGCCCTTGTAGCAATAGAATGCTACCATGTTCTATGAGCACCTATTTCAGAGGTTTTAAAGGGGGGGGGATTGGCAGGGGAGCAGTGTGCTATCTTCTGATCACCTGATAAAAATACACCAAACTGTGGATTCTGAAGCTGACCACTAATCTCATCTGGGTCAAGATCTATCTTGACTGGATCTGATGAGTCTGCTCTGGAATCCAAGAAACACACACTTAATTGTTTCTCCCTGAAAATCAAAGTGGTGTGCAATTGCTTAACTTTGAGTCCTCCTCCTTACAAGCAGCATAATTTAAAAACAAAAATATCAAGATCAATGGGATTTACTCCCAGCTAAGTGTTTACAAGCCAAAACCTCCTTGAGATCACTAGATGAGAATCATATGCCTGTTCTGAAACTCTGTATTAGGTCGTAAGAACTTAAAAAGGACCCAAACTAGATAAGGCCAAGGGCTCATCTCATCTAGCATTTGGTTCTCAGTCTCCAAACAAATGCTTATAGGAAACTCACAAGCAGCTCATGAGCACAATTGCACTCTCCCAAATATAGTCAAGCTCCAATACTTTGGTGAAGGCCAGGATCTAAATTTGCACCTTAATTTGTCTATGGATAATGCATAACATGTGAAAGACACTGCCTCTTTGTTTTCTGCCCCTGATGGAATTTAAACCAATCCACTAGTTGTGTCTGGAAGATAAATAGGAAGCCTGCCATGTTCCTTTACTTGCCAGTGATTGAAGAGTGTTTCCAGCTCACAGCTTGTTCCACTCTTACAGCCTTTATTAATGCTACTCCCCGAGACTCAAGTAGTCAGTACCTTCATATTAAGATTTACAGCATACTTATGGGAATTTGGGTCATGAACTTCTGCAGGAAATTGTCTGTTCTCTATGAGTCATGTCATGAGTACCAAAATATAAGGCCTACAAAAACATACTGTAGGTCACAATCAACCCATTGGTCTGTAGGGCTCTTAACTTTGCATCCTCACTGATACAGATAGACTTGAAGTCTGGAAACTAAGATTGTCACTGTTAAGAATCCTGATTTCATACAGGAACCGGGTCCTGACATCTGTTGGTAAAACTCTGCCACATAAGTTAAGCAATTGCACACCACTTTGATTTTCAGGGAGAAACAATTGTGTGTTTCTTAAATCTTCAGCTGAAATTAGACCTAAAATGCTTGACTTGGGCTAGATTGTGCACTGTGCCATTAATCTGTCTATGTAGATGTTTAGACTACTGGTTGGAGAAACTGTGCATGCTTCCCAGGGAGCAAGTCCTATTGCAATCTGTGAAATTCACTTCCAAATAAACACACACAGGATTGCATTGCATGCCCCATGGGAATTCATAAGACATATCTCACTTTTTTCGGAAGTGTATCCAATATTAGGAACTTAGCAAACAGCTTTAAACTGAGTCAGAACATTGGTCCATCTAGCAGAGTATACTTTATACTGACCAGCAGTAGCTCTCTAGTGTTTCCAATAGGAATGGGGGAGAAATTCCATTAAGATTGCTTCAAAAGGCAAACTCACCAAATTCACACTTTTCAGAAAAAAATATACAAATCACCCTTCAGACTTCTCTGAATTTTGCAGCCCAGTTTGACAGCCAAGAAACGGGTACGAAAATGCAAAAACAACCTACAGATATGAATTATATGAGGGTGAAGTACTTTGCAGGAAATGTGTATATTAGGCAAATCTGCATACAAAAAATATGTTTGTTAGGATAAATCTACAATGCTCACAGTTTGCGAACTGGTTTAAGGTTTCTCTTACAACCAAGTGGTATATGAATTTTATGAAATAGTAAATAAATATGCATGAATTTTCAAGAGGATATTCCCGCCCAAATTAATAAATATGTGTGGAGAACTGAATTTAAAAGTAGGAAAATGAGAAAGTGAGAAGCCTGTAACTGACAGGCCCATCTACCCCTACAAGCAAGGAAGACGCTGTAGCACTGAGCAATGGCCCTTTCCCCCCAAGTCATGTGATTTTGGGGGCCATTGAAAAAGGCACCGGAATGATTTTTTGCTGTTAGCAGAAAGAGGAAGGGATTAAAATATGGGGGTCCCCCCTTCATTTAGTGGATTTTGTCTTTTATGTTTCAATAGTCTATATTTGGGGGGAAACAATACACCATATTTTTCTTTTCTCCTTACAGTTAAAAATGGGAACAAGAAAGGTGAGAAAAACAAGAAAAGCAACGAAAGGACACCAGATGGCGACTATGAAAGACGAAGCACTTATGAGGAGAGCTGGGAAAGTAAGCTTGAATCTTCTCAGATGGCATCTTACTTTTTTTCATTCTTTGGTGAACAATTTTCCGAGAGAAATAACGAGGTGAAATGGTACCTCCTCAAGAGAGCCTAGCTCATTACTAAACACTCGTCAGTTCCAGATGTGTGTTCTGGAAGCTTCTTATTAGCTGCTGACCAAAACTACAGGCTTGAAACCTGCAGCTTTTGCTGTTGTGTTTACTTTTGATTTACACCTCAGGCCATGTTGATCAGTCCTGGGAGGGATGGGAAACCTCTTTTAGTCCGAAAGCCACATTCCCTTCTGGCAACCTTCAAGAGCTACATGGAAGTGGTGGGCAGAGCTAAGATGCTAAAGTGGGTGTGGGGGGGAAGTGCTCACCCAGCCCTCTCCATATCACATCTTGACAAGCAACATGAATTATCAGAATTCAAGGACAAATTCCAGTCAGGCAAAAAACAAACAAAAAAAAAGGGGGGGAGAGCTAGTGAGGGTTGTGGCCTGGGAAAATGGTGAAGGTGGTCTAGGGAGAGTTCTGTGGGTCAGGTAAAGAGGGGTGGAGATCCACATTTAACCCTTGAGACTGTCCCCCCCCCCCAGTTTTTCCCATTGAACTCACAAAAAGGGAAAGGGTGGATGAATAAACTGCCTAGTTATTAGCGGCAGCCCTCATTCCTATGAGAGATTTTGTCCAACAAAACTAGTTTTCCACGAATATTGATTGGTGGGTTTCTGAAACAGTAGCAGGACTGAATGTTTGTCTCCATTGGGCAGCATGGGACAGATGTAGGTGGTAGCTTTCTGAACTGAACCACTTCATTCAGCAAAGGGAAGGCATAATATTTTTGAATGATTAAATGAAAAAAAATTACCTGCTTGTAATAATCCAGCATATCAGGGAGACAAATCATATTGTAAGGGAAGATCATATTTTTGACTGGATTAAAAGAATCACCCTGCGGGTAGTGAACTGCCACACAACAGAGAAGAACTTTCTTCCCAAAGCGCTTATTTATTATTGGCAGGGAGGTTCTTTTTATGATGGGAGGGCATTCAAAAATATGGTCCTTCTTGCTGTAGGAAGGAGTCAGGCTCAAAATTACCTCAGTCTAGCACCTCACTCTGCATTATGCACAGAATGGCCCTCAGGAACTAGGCAAACTTTAAAAAAAATAATTCGAGTTTTACTTTACATGACACTTGACATGTATTTTTTCACATTCTCCTTAGACTCCTGTAGAAAATTTGCAGAAGCACTTCTGCAGCAGTAAAGTTTACTTTTGCATTAAGTAGTTCCATCAAATCTATAGAGTCTTCAAAATAAATGCCACTAGCCCACCCCCACAATATAGAGTTGAACTATCTCAAAAGGTAAATTCCAATGGATGTTGTATAACCCTAGAAAAAAATATTTAAGTGCCATAGAACAGATGAAAATGAATCATAAAGAAATGATAGGCCACACCAGACCAATTTCAAACTATTCTCCAGAGATTTACACCGTACTGAGCAAACACTACACACTTGTGGGCTTCTGAACATTTCCTGGTTGGTTCCCCCTAGGGAGCTGTGCAAAGTTCATCTTTACACAATTGTACATCTGCAGTAAAAATAGGATGAAAAAACACTCCCCCCCATATGCCATAGTATTTAAGTGCATGCTTAGTACAATGCAATCTTATGTAAGTTTATTCAGAAATAAGGCTAATGAACTCCATGGGACTTACTTGCATGTATGTGTGTGGGATTGCAACCATTATCTTAAATATAGGTCAGTCTCAGTTGTATTATCAATATACTTAGACCTACACTTATGTATTTTGATGCTTTTGAATCTCATCAGGAAATGATTGGGAATTAATGTATTGCTAGGAGGCTGAACCTAAACATTTGCACCATCATGAATATAGTAATTGTGGCTAGCAGCCAGTGCTTTTTCCTGTCCCCTTTTTTTTGGGGGGGGAAGGAGGAGGGGGGGCTCTTGGACCCTGTCAGAGCATCGTGCCTCCTTCCCAAAACTGGGCAAATGCTTCCCAGGCTTGGGGAAGGAGGTGCAAGCCTGTTTTCTGGCAGCACGTTGAACAGTATGACCCTGTGGTGGGTATAGGCATGCACAGGTGTTGGGTTACCACTCCATCATCCCTGACCAGTGGCTATGCTGGCCAAGGCTGATGGGAAATGGAGTCCAACAACACCTGGAGGCCCACATGTTTTCCAACCCTGGTTTAATTCTTACCTCAATTTAGGTCAGGTCATACAAACCCAAAAATTCTTAGCGCCTTTGTTCAGGAGCTTCCTTGGTTAACTTGGAATGCATGGCTCCCTAGAGCTTGAATGGCTGCTTGGTTATGTTCCTTCTAGTATCCAGGACAATTTTGAAGGATCATTTGAAACAGATGTTAAGGCTCGTTTGTTTGGCAATAGTGAAAGCGAAATCAAATCTGAATGGTTTGCATTTGTTCCACTCTAGCCAAAACACCATCACTGTTTAAAAATCTGGCAAGAGATTCAAATTATTGCATCCACGTGGAAACCAATAAATAAATCAATAATACAGACTTAAAAATAGCAAAAAACGTTTTGACAGTCAGACGTCAAATTCTGAATCATGCTTCTATTTGTCACACTTCCTGGGACTATGGAGTGGGGGGGAAGGACACTCTGCCCCCATCCATCACCTAGGGGACCAAGGGCCACAGAGAAGTGGTATGTCTTACCTTCTAGGAAGAATATCCACACAAGGGGGGAGGGGAGGCAACTTGGCCCCATCCCTCATCCAGAGCAGGAAGAGTCATGGCAGATTTCCTTTCCCTCTGCCTGTCAGAAATTATATTTGGTTCTAACTGTCAGTTGCTCTGAGATAACAAAGTAGAAGGAAATCAAGCTGTGGCCCAACCATTGGCCAGGACAATCAGGGTTTTTTGGGTTCAGTTACAATCCCTCCTGACTAAGCAAGAGCACCAGCTAGGAAATACTATGCTCGTCCCAGTTTGTTTACATCTCACTGCTTTGTTCTGGCCATGTCAAACCAATCAGCCTAAAGGTCCCAGGCTCAATCCCATGCATCTCCAATCAGGGCAGGGAGAGACTTGTCTACTATTCTGGCACTCCATTGGACACTCTGATCTTGTGACTCATGACCCCCCTCCCTCTGGGAGAGACCAAGTTGAGTGTCTTTCTATTGGGGGGGCAGGGGGGCAGGGGGGGAGGCAAATCTGCCACTACAGAGAGCAGGTACATCATTATCAAACAGTCTGATCTTTGGAATGAAGCATTGTAAAGTAGCTACATTATATATTAGGAATAAACTATCAAGGGTTGACTGGAAAAAAGCGTTGAAAAGCATGTTTAAACAAGTACAATGAAAAGGAAAAATGAATACTTTGTTGTTCTGGGCTCTGACATGTACCTTAAAAGAGACAGGGGTATTGCTTTATGATGGAGAAGGGAAATAAAGTAGAATCAGGTGAACTGGAAAGAAAGCTTTCATTGGAAATAATGTTTGACTAATACCTCTACAAAGTTTCTAAGCTTCCCTGTTTCAATAACGTTGGCAGATTTTGAGTTAAGGCTATTCATTGCCCCATGAGATGTGAAATAGGATCAGAAGAGGTATTTTCAAAGAAAGCATTTGTTTTATAATGGAAGAAGCCAAACCATATATGACTAATAGTTTGGACTGGAGCTTTAAAGAATTTGGCCTGATAGGCATGTACTGGCACAACTACTGTTATGGAGCATTTTGCCTTTCCAAATTTCATCCTCTAGGGAATCACAAATCTTTGCCAAAGAAATCTCTCACCCAGTATAAAAAGGAATTTCAAAGCATCTGCTCTCTAGAAAGAAAAAAGGCCATTGTCTTTGGATACGTTGATTCATTTACATGTACTAACACTAGAAAAATAACCTAGCTTCAAGGCTTAGCTAGAGATTGACTGTTCCAGAGGCAAGGGAATTTGTCAGGTTCCTGCCTAACTGAAGTGGCAGACCTCTCACAGAGTGAGAGGTGTGGTGCAGATCATGAGATTCACCCAGCTAGCTGACCTGTGGCTCTCCAAATGCTATTGCACTACAACTCATATAATTCACAATCATTGGCTGTGTTGGCTGGGAGTCCAACAACATAATCTCAGCTCTATTTCAAAGAGAACACTTACGCTATTCTTCACTTATCCTGTGTCCTGAACCCCTGGCCTACCTGGTAGCAAGTCAGTAAGCCAAGTCCAAAGTTCATAGTGCAGGAGTCAAGCCACACAAAATCCAAAGCTCAGGAAATGCAGTCCAGGGTCAATCCAAGTAGCCAAGTCTGAAGTCTAGCAGTCAGGATACAGTCCAGTCAAACCCAAAACACAGTCCCATAGAGGTCCAGGAGGATCCAAGTCAAGGCCCCACAACACGAGCAATTGTGCAGACACAGCACCTCAGCTCTGCTTCCCTTTTGTACTTTGCAAGCTGATTGCAGCATCTGGGCTTGATGAGGCAGGTGGGCCTCATCTGTTCTGAGCCTGCTTCAGCTGAGGAATCACACATCTCACCCCAGAGCTAACAAGCCCCACCTGGCCAGCTAGAGAGCCCTTGCCTGCTTCAGCCTCCTGGAGCACCCTGGCTGCTGTTCCTTGTGCCTCAGAGCTTGCCTTGTTTGTGGGGACAGGAGTCCCTCTGGCTCTGGTGATGGGTCCTGCTGCTCTGGATTCTGTGCGTTGATCCTCATCCCCTTGCCATCCTCCATCATGCTGTGAGCACTTCATTCTCCACCCCCTGTTTGCCCTGGAATGTCCCAGTGTCAGCTGCCCCCTACACTGGGATTCTTTTCCCTGCCATCCTGCCAGTTCATGAGATCCTGAGAGGCAAGTATACTAGTACCTAGGAATCATGGGTGAGAAGAGTGCTTATACGCTCATGGACTGCTCACTGGTTTTCCAGTGGCCTCTGGCTGGCCACCATGAGAGCAGGGTGCTGGACTAGATGGGCCATGGGCCCAATCCACCAGGCTCATCTTATGTTCTT